CAGCGGGGAAAGCCAGCCACACCGAGCCCCTGCGACGGGCTGCCCGCACGGGCCACCGCCACCGCGCCAGGAGCTGGGAAATTCCAGGCATGACCCCTGCGAGCTGCAGAGGAGATAATCCCCTAATCCAGCTCACGTTACATTAGAAAATTAAAACTAGCCGTGCTAATAGGAAAGACCCTGCTCATTGCCAGCAGCCCCCAGCACAATCCCATCAGGTCTGATCTCACTCTGGATGGGGAGAGGAGGAGGAAGGGGAACAGAGGGAGCTACAGCATCTCCTGATTTCTCTTCCTCCCCTTTTCCCCTTCTGCTAAAGAATCATTTGCTGAAAGCAACGTCATCTCAGTCGAGCCAAAAGGGGGAATGGCTCAGTTGGTGGTAACAAGGTCATCCTTTCACACAGCTCTACCCCAGGTAAATCTAAAATTAGTTAAAAAAGAAAGAGCAGAATATATCCAGAGCAGGCAAAACACTTACCAAAAGCTCAGGTCAAACAAACTTTCAATCAAAAAGACAAATCCTCCCCGCTACCAGTTTGAGTCTGCACAGTGGGATTTACAAGGGAAAGTCACGTCTGAAAGGGTGCTGTGCAGAGTTAATCATGCAAACAGTGAGGGAAAGGAGCCAGAAATCCACACGGAAAGTAGGTTAATTTTTAAAAAGGCAACACATTTAAGAGGTCTGCAGTTTCCCCTGGGAAAACCTTGGCTTCACCAGGCAGAAGATGAGCGAAGATGAGCTAAGGAGAAGACGATCCTGCACAGCAGGATCTACATTTAATCAATGCTCAAGCTGAAAATTTTGAAGCAGGGCGACACAGACAGCAGCATCGTTGCCAGCTCCATGCCAGCATCCTGCCACCCCAGCCTTGCCCATGGCTGTGAGGACCCTGGGGGGTGGCTGCACAGGCCTGGGGACTGCTCTGTCACACCTGAGCACAGGGTTTGAACTGCCAGGAGGACAGGATGGACATCATCTGAGGCTGGTCCTGCTGCACATGGGGGACTTGGAGCCCATGTCATGGCCTCTGCCAGGGATCAGGCCAAATTAAACCACATCCTTGCCCCAATTCTGCAGAGCCCTGAGGATGCCCTGTCCCCCCCAATACATAGATACGGTATTTATCCCCAGAGTGACCACTTGCTCTGGCATTAGCCACCACAAAGTAGTTGTGGCCATGAGGTGTGTCCTAAGTGACTAGCTTCAAGCTCTGCACGGGGACTTCGCTGCTCATTCTCTGCCGGAGGAGGAGGGCGAACGAGTGTATGAGTAAATACAATATGTTCAGAGAGGAGACAGGAGAGTATCTGGTGGTGAGCTCATCTTACATTCGCTGTCACACACACTCCTCCTCTGCCCTTCCCACTTGCTTTTGCCCCTCGCTGCTGCCGCTGATGGGAGTTCAAACACAACCTCCACAGGGCACAGGGGCTTCTGTGCTGCTGCCTGCAAGGCTTCGTGCAGATGTGGCTCTGCAAATAAGATGGCAGCATGAAAACGGAGGCCGTTTCACCTCTCTGCACCCGGCAAGAGCTTTGCGTGCTCTGGCTTCATTTTGGCACACTACGCACGGCGGGCTTGCTCTTGGGTCATCTGGGGTGAGCTCTCTCGGCAGCCTGCGTGTGTGCTCCAGGCGGGTGCAGCACATGAGCCCAGAGCCAAAGGGTTATTCTGGGGTTATAGTCAACGAGCAGGGAATGGCTTCAGGGAGAGAAGCATACCGGAATGAAAAACACCACAGAAGAACAGGGAACGGCTACTCTCCTCGAGCACTGGAGGAGGAATACCCTGTTAGTGCTTAGATGCAGAAATAATGCCTTTTCTGGCAGCTGCAGACTACAAAAGCCTGTACTCCCAGGTCTTTGCTTACACAATCCGCCAGGACACCCTGCGGCATTCTCCACAGGGACAGCACGGTTCGGTTCAAAGTCAGTTAGCACCAGAGCTCACAGAAAAGATCCTCTGGAGACACAGACCTAGTGTACATTTGCCCACACACAAGGTTGAAACATTGAAGGTTTCCCTTCAATGGAGGTTGTTTACGTACTGCGTCCTTCTCAGGGTTGCAGACTTTCACCCAAAGGATGTGATCCAGCAGCCAGTCAATGGGTTTGTCCTTATAGAACATCAGGATGAACTCCACGATCAAGCTCAGATCCAGAGACTTGATCCCTACAGCACAAAGAAAGAGAGAAGACAGCAGCTATGGTATGAAATGGTCAAGAATGACAGCTGGGGTGAAAAAACTTGGGAGACTGGGCTGCTGAGGTTGGATGAGTCCATCTCTCTCTACATAAAGGAGACAGCATGCAGCTCTGTTTTACATACCAGTACTGCTGGCATTGCTAGTACAGTCTGGATTTAATATTCATCGCACAATTAGAAAGCATTAGTGTCTCACAGGTCGAACAGTATCAAAAGGTCTAAAAGTCTTCCATTCAGTAGGGAGAAATAAGGATGAAAAACACTCAGCTAGCTGCAGGACAGACCATTTCCTGTCCCAAAAACTACAAGTTTTAAGCCAGTCAAACCAGCATCCAAAACAACAAGATCAAGCTGCTACTGCAACCATGTACTGCCGTTCCCAAAATAGTTCTGTGCTGATGTAAACTTCCTTTTGCACACTCTTAGGCAACTCCAGATCCCATCCAGCGTAAAAGCTACTGGTCACGTCTAAGCTGTTTGGCTGTCGGCTGGGCCACTGACCAGGTTTATTTTTATTAAAAGTGAGTATCAGCAGTACCAGCTGTGAGGATCTTTCTCCCCTGTGCAAACACGAGGGTCACTGCAAAAATAGGGAGGGATCAAGTCCGAGTATTTTACCATCTCGTGGACACAATTTGTTGGACCAACAGCATAAGTGCTTGCAAGAACCAGCAGGCACTTGCGCCCGTGCCTGATGGGACTGGGGTGAGCAGGGGAGAACATTACCAATGAAGCCCAGCTGAGAAAACTCCAGGATCATCCAGTCCTCGGAGGGCTGCTGCAAGGCAAAGTTCTTCATCGTGCTGAGATAGTTTGGTTTGGCCACAATATCATCCTCCAGCTGCAAGAGGAAAGGACACTTAGTGCCAATGACCCATCCAGGTTCCAGTAAGAGCCTCTCTGTGCAGAGCAATCACGCCCTAGACTGGAGGAAAGCTTTGGCACAGACCTAGTTTTATTTTGGAAGATTCTCCAAGCAGATTTTTCTCACCCAATCTAACAGGTAAATAAAACAAGGATTCCTACTCTCCCTAGGTGTGAGGTCTCCAAGTCTAAAGCATCTTAGAAATCTAGCTTTTGAACATATCTGGTTAAAACCTGCTCCCACTCTGCTGCATCATGCAACTGGACATGCTGTTTGCCCTCTCTCAGCTGGGTATGAGCCACAGTGAACTCACAGGTACACCCATCTCCCCTCTGCCCCCAGCACCAAACCTACCTGCACGTAATATATGCCTTTGGACTGGGCGTACATCATTAAAAAGCAGTAGTCGAGGTTCTGCTTTGTCCTCCACCTGCAAGAGGCAAACACGATGGGAGCGCTGGTCTCTCCCGGCACACCGGGCAGCTCGGAGGAGCCAGCCGAGGCTGGGTTTTGGCCGGGAAGGTGACACAGCTCTTGGAGAAGGGGATGGCACACAGCCTCTCTCTTTTGGTCTCAAACCGGTCAGCTAAAAGTTACCGGAAAACTCAGGGACTTCCAAAATGAACATCATCTGGGTTTAAATGGCCCCCTCGCTTAGTGATGGAAACATCGCAGCACAAGGCAAGCCCTGCAAAGCTGGCACCAGTTCATACCCCACCCCTCCACATCCTTCCAGCTCTTGGATAAAGCAAGTTTAAGCGCCTCTCCTGGCCCTGCAGAAGAGCTTTCCCTGCTGGAGTTGCGGGGGGATGCTGCACGCACTTAATTCAGGGCTTGCTTGTTTTTAAGCTCATGGATTCTTACCTGACTCTTTCCTTGGGGTCCCCAAAGGATTCCCGCAGGTGGGAGAAATCAGGATAGAAATGTGGAGACGGGGAAATTACCTCCAGGAGACCTGAGTGTATTTCCTTTGGGAATCTGAGGGAGAAAAGCAGCCGTAAACAAACACCTCCACGTCTGACACACCATTTCATAGATCAAATCACTGGTTAAACACTGAGCCACAGAACCAAACAAAAAATACAGCCTTTAAGATAAAAATTCCCCAGCAGCTAGTGCACTTTCAGGCCTCACCAAAGGACAACAGCAGGGACTACCACCGAGTTTTAAAGTTGCTCTCTCCCTCCCACGGTCTCCAATAATCCCACATTCGCGTGCTCTCCCCCAGCATCCCTCCTCCCTCCCTCCCGCACACACAGGTCAGCTTTAAAGACCAGCTGCAAGAACCATGTACTCTCCACAGAATTAAACAGACCTGCAGACTGGTGCCCCAAAAAAAGGACTTCTGGCATTACCAGCATTTAGAGATTTTCTAAATGCATCAGTAATTAAACGCCATTTTGCAGAGATTATGTTATGCATTTCTGATAAGTTACTTAAAACACTGCTGTGC